TTGTGAGATGTTACTGGAGCCCACTCGAGTCAATCGAACAATGGGAGGACAGTGCAGTGCAATTTAGGTTTTTAGAGGTAGAAGGTTCCTGGATGTTATTTAGTTCACTTCATGATGCATATCACTGTCACTGTCCTCCTGTTGTTCATCGATTTGCTCAAGCGGGCCCAGTAATATCTCCATTTTGAGACTTATTGTTACTGTGCTTGGCATATTGAATACATCATGGGTAGCTTGCCAGGTTTTGCCGTGTGGGTGAGATACTCTCGGTAGCTTCCCAGGCTCTTTGAGGGGGCGGAGGAATCGAACCTGGCTTGACCGGGCTGGCTGTGTGCAAGGCAAACGCCCTACCCCTGTGCTATTGCTCCACCTATGGTCAATGGTAAAAGAATAACATAGCACCTCCTGTGCAGGGAAATCACTAACTTTCTGTATACTATGGGTGGCTAGATTAGATCCAACTGGGTTTCAATTAAGGCTCTATTTCTTTCTGGCTGTAGTGGAATTTGAGAAGTTATTTAATGTGTCTACTGAGTTCTATAATTAAGTAAAAGTAATAGCAAAACAGTACTATGCTCATGAAATTGTTTTGAGGATCAAATGTATTAATATTCAAACCATTATTTCTTTATTTTCATTGAATTACTCTGAGATAGAGTTACAAAGCTTTTATTATTGAGTTTCAGTCATACAATGATTGAACACCCATGCCTCCAGCAGCGTGCATTTTCCACCACCAATGTCCCCTTTATCCCTCCTGCCACCTCCACCTCACTCCCTGCCTCTGTGGCAGGCACCATACTTTTTATTCTCTCTCTGCTTTTGGGTATCATGATTTTCAATACTGATACTGAGAGGCCTACTTCAGTACATGTGTCCCATCCTTAGTGACCCTCAAACCACAATTGACTAAGTGGTCTCTTCTTTATTCCAATTGCCTTCTCCCCCAGCACATGATGCAGGCTTGCAAACCATGGAGCAATCCTCCTGGCTTTTGTCTATACTGTTCTTGGGTGTTAGTCTCATACTATAATATTTTATATTCCATAAATGAGTGCAGTCATGCTATGTCTATCCCTCTCTTTCTGACATTTCACTTAGCATGATACTCTCCATGACCATCCACTTATAAGCAAATTTTATGACTTCATCGTTCCTAGCAACTGCATAGTATTCCATTGTGTAGATGTACCAAAGTTTCTTTAACCAGTCGCCTGTTCTCGAGTACTTGGGTTGTTTCAGATTCTGGCTATTGAGAACAGTGCTGCAATGAACATACAAATGCATACGTCATTTCTACTGTGCTTTTCTGCACTCTTGGGATATATTCCCAGAAGTGGTATTGCTGGCTTATATGAAAGGTCAATTTCTAGTTTTTGAAGGAATGTCCATATTGTTTTCCAAAAAAGCTGAACAAGTCGGCATTCCCACCAACAATGAGAGAGAGTCCCTTTCTCCCTACATCCACACCAGCACTGGTTTCTCTTGTTCTTTTGTATGTGTGCCAATCTCTGTGGTGTGAGCTGATATTGCATTGTTGTTTTGATTTGCATCTCCCTGATGATTCGCAATGTAGAGCATTTTTCATGTGCCTTTTGGTCATTTGTATTTATTTTTTGAGGAAGCGTCTGTTCATTTCTTCTTATTTTTTGAGGGGTTGGAGTTTTTTTCTTGTAAAGTTCTACAAGTGTCTTGTGTATCCTGAATATCAACCCCTATCTGATGGTTATTATGTAAATAATTTTTCCCATTCCATGGAATCGCTCTGTATTTTTGTCACTGTTTTTTTTTTGAGGTGCAGAAGCTTCTTAGTTTAATGTAATCCCATTTGTTTATATTTGTTTCCACTTGCTTGGTCAGTGGTGTTTCATCCTTAAAGATGCCTTTAGCTTCAATATCATGGAGAATTCTGCCTACATTTTCCTCCATGTACCTTATGGATATTGAAACCATCCTTAATCAATGAAATAGTCACAGAGTTCTTAGAAAAATTTAACTCTTATTTTACTACCTCTATAATTGTCTTTATACCGCAGGATTTACTACCAAATAACTACCTTTTTATTAGTATTCATGTAACTGTTGGATCATTTTCCAAAATCTTCAAATTTTATACAGGATAGAGAGGTTGAAACTTTGTTAAATACTACATTAAACTCAATACCCATCTGATAAGGAGTTAATATCCAGAATATACAAGACACCAATAGAATTGTACAAGAAAAAATCTTCCAATCCCATCTGGAAATGGGGAGAAGAAATGAATAGAAGCTTCCTCAAAAAAGAAATACAAATGGTCAAAAGGCACATGAAAAAATGCTCTACATGGCTAATCATCAGGAAGATGCAAATCAAAACAACAATGAGATATCATCTCACACCACAGAGACTGGCACACATACAAAAGAACAAGAACTACCAGTGCTGGCACGAATGTGGGGGAGAAAAGAACTCTCTTTCATTGTTGGTGGGAATGTCGACTAATCCAGCCTTTTTGGAAAACAATTTGGGCATTCCTTCAAAACTAGAAATTGAGCTTCCATATAAGCCAGCAATACCACTTCTGGGAATATATCCCGAGGGTGCCGAAAAGCACAGTAGAAATGACGTATGCACCTGTATGTTCATTGCAGCACTGTTCAAAACAGCCAGAATCTGGAAACAACCCCAATGCCCAAGAAGGATGACTGGTTAAAGAAACTTTGATACATATACACAATGGAATACTATGCAGCTGCTAGGAAAGATGAAGTCATGAAATTTGATTATAAGTGCATGGTCATGGAGAGTATCATGCTAAGTGAAATGAGTCAGAAAGAGAGGAACAGACATATCATGGCTTCACTCATTTGTGGAATATAAAATATCATAATATGAGACTGACTGACACTCAACACAGTAGACACAAGGGCCAGGAGGGTTGCTCCATGGTTGGAAGCCTGCCATATGAGCTGGGGGAGAAGGAAGCTGAAATAGAGAAGGGATCACTAAGTCAATGATGGTTGGAGGTTATTTGGGATGGGAGATGTGTGCTGAAAGTAGATCAAGGACAAAACATGATAGCCTCTGAGTATCTACATTGCAAACCATAAAGCCCCAAAGTAAAGAAAGAGTATGAAGGAAAATGTCTGCCATAGAGGCAGGGAGAGAGTTGGGATGGGGGGATACTTGGGACATTGGTGGTGGAAAATGTGGACTGCTGGAGGGATGGGTTAGATCATCGTATGACTGAAACTCAATCATGAAAGCTTTGTAACTGTATCTGTATAGTTACAAATCTGTAACTGTATTTTTTCAATAAAAAATCTAAAAAAAGAAAATTTGTTAAATTTCATTTTCCTCCAGATATGCTTCAAGTTGCACCATCCTATTAGCTTTATTGATGTCTGCCTTGTTTCAGTTTTCAGGATATATTTTCAAAGTAAAACAAGTAGAAACTATTTAAGTATTTGGAAAAATATATTTAAAAGAAATTTAAGGAAACTAATATTATTTTTTAATTTTGGGGCCACGTAAGAGGTTTCTTATGGTTCTGTGCTCAAGGACTACTCCTGGTGGGACTTGAGATACAATTTAGGGACCACTTGAACGCAGGTCAGCCATGGACAAGTGCGCCACTATACTATTTCTTTGGTTCCCAGAAAGGGAAATTGTTTTTGTTTAAAGTTTTTATTGCATATCTATGAGATAGACCATTACAAGCTGTTTATGATTGGATTTCAGTCATACAATGATCAAACACCGATCCCTCCACCACCAGGTACACATCCTACCACCAAAGTTGCATGTTTCCCTCCTCCAACACCCCCTATCCCCCAGTATCCCTCTTTGGCAAACACTTCTCTCTCTCTCTCTCTCTCTCTCTCTCTCTCTCCTTTTGTGCATTATGGTTTGCAATATAGGAACTAAGAGGTCATCATGTTCAAGGGCGTTCAGTATTTTTGTTGGGAAGATAAGGCTGGAATAACTTTTTCAACTGGGTGGCAGCTCTGGTGTGTGGACATGAATACTGAGGCTTCCAGAAGTACAGGGAGATGGGTAGTTAAGATAGAGTAGGATTTATTATGATAATACTAGTTGGAATGATCAGTCTGGACAAGAACTGAGTGTTGAAAGTAGGTGAAAGGTTATACATGATAATCTTTCAGCATCTATATTGCAAACCATAATGCCTAGAAAGAGAGAGAAGAGAGGTGCCTGCCATAGAGGCAGGTGGGGGTGAGGGGTGGCATGAAGGAATGAGAGAGAAACTGGGGACACTAGTGCTGGGAAATTACACTGGTGGAGGATTAGGTATTGGAACATTGTATGACTGAATCTCAATCATAAACAGCTTTGTAATACTCTATCTCATGGTGATTCCATTAAAAATTAATTAATTAATTAAAAAATGAACAAAATTCAAATTGAAAGTATATTATATGGCAAAAAAACAAAACAAAACTGGGGAACTGGAAAGAGTACAGCAATCCCATATGGTCTGTCAGGTCTCAATGAATTGGAGAAAATGTTTACACACAGTATATTAGTATATTCGATAAAGGACTAATAGTGTTTGTGTGTGCGCACGCGTGCGTGTGTGTGTGTGTGTGTATCACTCATGAAGTTCAACATTAAAAAGAACTAACTAAATAGTGATTTAACAGTTCAAGACATGAGTTATTGTGATACATGTATCTTACAATAGTGACAGGGCAGATATTGTTATTCTTAATATAGATATAGATATAGATATTCTTAATATAGATAGCCTCAGTATTTCTCAACTTTAATAGTGAGAACAGTAGCTGGACATGAGACCCAACCCCATTTTTTAAAAAACCACTGTGAAAGAAATAGTGAAAAAACATATAAAGAGATTGTTTTACAAGAGGTATCATAATCATTGCCACATTACTGAAACAAAGAATTTCTTGTTGGGAGGGTCAAAAGAAAATTCTTGAAGCCTGTTGACATTGGTATGGATTTCCAAGTGCATCCTAACATGATGCCTGAATTGGTTATAACCAGATTCTCTTGCTGAATAGTTTTCCCAGGGCAGTCTTCATGTCTCGGTTTCTCAGGCTATAGATGAATGGATTTAACATTGGAGTCACAATCATGTACATCACAGTTATCACAGCATCTTTTAAACTGTAGCTAGTCAGAGGGCGGAAATACATGCCCATAACTGTCCCATAATACAAAGAAACAACCGTGAGGTGGGAGCCACAGGTGGAGAAGGCTTTGCGTACACCTTTGGTGGACGGGACACGTAAGACTGTGGAAAAGACCCGGACATAGGATATAATGATGCATATTAAGGGCACAGAAAATACACCAACCCCTAGATACATCATCTTTACATTAAATGTGATGTCAGAGCAGGATAACTTAAGCAAAGGGACAATGTCACAGTAGAAGTTGGCTACTTCCAGATTTCCACAGAAAGTCAAACTAGCTGTGAGCAGTGTGTGGATGAGGGCATTAGTGTTTCCAACTACCCATGATCCAACAACTAACAGGACACAAGATCGTGGGCTCATAATTGTTGTGTAATGGAGTGGGCGGCTGATGGCCACAGCACGATCATATGCCATTGCAGCCAAGATGTAGCTATCTGTATTAGCCAAAGAAATCATAAAATACATTTGTGCTAGGCATCCCCCAAAGGAGATTGCTTTGCTTTGCAAGATATAGTTGGACAGTGTCTTAGGGATAGTTACAGAAGAAAAGAAAATATCAACAAAAGAGAGGTTGGCAAGGAGAAAATACATGGGACTGTGAAGGCGAGTGTCCGAGTGAATGGCCAAGATGATGAGCAGGTTTCCAATCACTGTGATGGGATAAATGAACACGAAGAGAATGAAGAAGATTTCTTCCTGCTTTTGCTGACCACTAACTCCCAGGAGAATGAAGTCTAGAGTAGAGGATTGGTTTTCTTCCATCACAGATCCCTTATAAAGATAAGACGAATGCAGAATTATTAATTCAATACTTCTTGTTTCTTAGTGATTATGCAATAACTCCTCTATCTATCACACTTATTACATGTACTCCTGCTTGAGAATGAGAAATCCAGAGATGGTCTATTTAGAATAACCTCTGTTAATCAATTAGATGATTGCCATTTCTATACATATCAGAGAAATAAGTAATGTGCATCAGAGACTCTCATTTTCCCAGTCCCAGCACTGCCACCCAAGCACCATGGATTTACTCATTTAACAAATAATTAAATATCATATTGCATCAGCCGTATATTTTCTTAGGCCTCATGGGAAGATTTGAGCATATAAAACATTAAAAATTATTTATTTATTTATCCATTTACTGAACATATATCACCTAGTCTTTATTCTCAGGAACTTAATGGAAAAACTGGTTTGCACACTAATTGTATTACTCATAATAAAGAAAGAACATTTTGGAATATTTGAAGAAAACATTTCATTACCAATAATATGCCATATAGAGAATATCATGTCCAATTAGAAAATTCTCCACTGAACAATCCCAGTGTGATAGGAGGTCATGTTACCATATTTCTACAATGCCATTACAAGATTGTATATCATTAATAAAGCAGAATAGATAGTAGAAACACAATCTCATGAACTCCCTCCCAGATATTCCATATATTATTTTATTCTTTTTTGACAGATTCTTATTTCTTTCTCAAGATTTTATTTATAGTTGACTCTTTGACTTGACTATTTGACTTTTTTCTTCATCATTTCTTTTGGGAAATAATGCAACTTCAACTTCACAGTAACATTATCAACTATTAGCAGACTACTCTAGTTATGTCTACATGCTTGATATTTACTATATTTTCACATTTTTCATATTGTCAATATGTCTAAGTGAATACCATACTCTGCATATCCTATTTAAAGTAGTTTATAAGATTTTTTACCCCCTAAGGATGAATTATGGAGACAGGGATAGTTTGACTACACTCTACAGTGCTTATACTGATATAGGAAATGGAAAATAGATCTATGAAAAAACTAAAGTCCAGGACACAATAAGTATTTGTTTTGAATCAGTATATGACATATGCTAGTGTATAAGCACGAAAATGATGAATATTCAGTAAAGAGTGATAGATAATTGGTTGCTTATTTTCAAAAGAAATAATGAAAAATAATATCTAAAGAGGGCTGGAGCAATAGCACAGTGGGTAGAGCATTTGCCTTGCACGCAGCCAACATGGCCAACCTGAGTTTGATTCCTCCGCCCCTCTCGGAGAGCCTGGCAAGCTACCGAGAGTATCTCGCCTGCACAGCAAAGCCTGGCAAGCTACCTGTGACATATTAGATATGCCAAACAGAGTAACAACAAAGTCTCAAAAAATGGAGGCGTTTACTGGGCTCACTAGAGAAAATCAATGAACAACGGGAGGACAGTGACAGTGATTATCTAAAGAAATAACTTAAAGAGGAAAACATAAAGTTTTATAAGAAAAAGAAGGAAAATGTTTAGTATATGTGAGTGTGTATTAATTTCTAGAGCCAGGCACAAAATGCTTAAAACACAAGAGAAAATAGGGTAAAATTTAATGCATTAAAGTGGTAAACAATTGTATGAAAACATCATAAAAGAGGATTTTTCAACTTGAGAAACAAGCAATGAACTATAAAAAAGTACTGATTATACACATAAACAATAAAGGATTAATATTCAGAAAACACCAGTTTTTTGTTTCTGATAAGGACTGAAAATACAGTAGGAAAAAATTGACAAAAGGATGCAAGTCACAAAAGTGGAAGGTGGTTTGCTGGATTACAGATCTGAGAGTTCCAGTTTGATAAAAATAGTTGGAGAAGTGATGAGATAAGCTAGAAGTAACAAGGGAGCATAGGTGGAGGGTTTGGAACACATGGATGGTGATTTCAGTGAGGTGAAATTGTGCACCAAAACATTGCTCGTTATAAACAAATAGTCAGGGAAACTGGGGGACAGATGCTGATAAAGAGGACCCAACCAGACGTAACATAGGTACTTGGGCACTTCAGTAACTTTATATCAATTGAATATACTTAAACACTATTGTAACCCTATTACCTAAGCTAAAAATCATAAAAAATAGCGGAATCTAGTTTTTAATCAACAAAAAAGGAAATATGTTCAATTACATTATAAAGGCATCCTCTACTCCATAGCTTAGAGGCCAGCCGGGCATTCTAGGGGAAAGGGCAGCTCAGATAGAGAAGGGAGCACCAAATAAAGGGTGTTTGGAGGATCCTCCCAGGAGGGGAGATGCATGTTGAAAGTAGATTATGGACTGAACATGTTTGCCACTCAAAGCCTCTTTTGCAGACCACAATACCCAAAAGGAGAGAGAGAACACAGGGGATTGCCCTGCCACAGAGGCAGGGTGAGATGGGAGGAATGGGGGTGGGAGGGATATTATCCATGGTGGTGGAAAATGGGCACTGGTGGAGGGATGGGTATTTGATCATTGTATAATCGAAACCCAAGCACAAAAAATTGTAAATCTATAATTGTACCTCATGGTGTTTCACTAAAAATATAAAAAAAAGCATCCTCTAGGGGCTGGAGTGATAGCATAGCGAGTAGGGCATTTGCCTTGCACGCAGCTGACCCGGGTTCAATTCCCAGCATCCCATGTGGTCCCCTGAGCACCGCCAGGGGTAATTCCTGAGTGCAGAGCCAGGAGCAACCCCTGAACATCACCAGGTGTGACCAAAAAATAAAAATAAAAAAAATGCATCCTCTATCCTGGAGCATGTTAAGGTACAAAAACTCCCTTAAATTTCAAGTGTTGAGATGAATTATCAAGTTTGTATTGACATTTGAAGAACCACAGCAAGAAAAATAACATTAAAATGACATTTGAAAAGCACATATGTCCCTAGGAAAGCTGGACTTCATACATCTGTGAACCTGCAATTTTACTTCCAAATCAGAGCTCAGAGAAACTCCACCACATGTGTGTTTATGAAAACATTCTCATGCATGTATGTTTATGTAGAAAAGGTAGACATAACCTACTGATGAGTAACAAATAAATCTATTCTATTATATATGAATTCTGTATTGTAATAAGTGAATAAGTTATCATGGATAAATAAAATTTATGTTATGGAAAAAGCAAGTTGTTGAAAGACACATCATCACACAATATATGCATTCTTTAATAGCACTGTCCTCCCGTTGTTCATCAATTTGCTCCAGCGGGTAACCCGCAATATCTCCATTGTGAGACTTGCTGTTACTGGTTTTGGCATATTGAACACGTCACGGGGAGCTTGCTAGGCTCTGCTGTGCAGGCGGGATACTCTCAGTAGCTTGCCAGGCTCTCCGAGAGGGATGGAGAAATCGAACCCGGATCAGTGGCATGCAAGGCAAACGCTCTACCCACTATGCATATATATATATATATATATATATATATATATATGTGTGTGTGTGTGCTATCGCTCATTTTTATATATATAAATTTTTGTTGCTGTTGGGATCTGAGTCTTATAAATTTCTAGTCCAGTGGTTTTCAATCTTTTAACACCTGAAGATATGCACGAGCCCACAGATGGGTGACTGAAAACCATGACTAAATTCCAGTTACTAATATTCATGTATTTAGTAAAAAAAAAATCCTGACTAGAACATCTGTCAACTACAGAATTGGAGTGAGAGTGAGAAAAATGGAATTCTGAATGGCAACAAAGAGGTGTCAAATGTAGCTATAATATTAATTTCATTAAAAATTTTGAAGAACTATGACAAAAATTAAACCTGGGTATTGAGTGTTGTCATTCTGATTTTTAGTAAGATGAACAGATTTAATTTAAAAATAGAATGTTATAATTTTGATAATAATCAGATTCAAAGAGTTGCTAGCCACAGTGCTGGATGGTTCAAGTAATTTTTTAGTCAGTATAGGAGATAGATCTTTTTTGAAGATGTTGAGAAAATTAATGAAAGCTATTTCCTCTGGAAATATGGATCGATGAGCCATTATGAAACTCTACTAGAGTTATTCAGAGAGATTTCTGCTGAGTGGACCACAAAATATATTAGCACTGCATTGCACTGTTCTCCCGTTGTTCATTGATTTGCTAGAGTGGCCCAGTAACATCTCCATTGTGAGACTTCTTGTTACTGTGTTTGGCATATCAAATGCGTCATGGGTAGCTTTCCAGGTTTTGCCATGTGGGCGAAATACTCTTGATAGCTTGCTGGGATCTCTGAGAGGGGTGGAGGAATCAACTCGGCTCAAGTTATATTTAAAAAAATGCAAATGTGATTGTGTCTGTGTCTTTAAAATGGCTCATTGCCCAACCATCCCCTAACAAATAAAGCCCAAATTCCTTATCGTGGAAAAAAACTTAAAGCTTATTCACCTAGAAAAATATTTGTTTTTATCAGGACTCAGGAACATAGACAAATATGAATAATTAAATCAGGAAAGTAAGTTTTGGTTTAATGGATTATGCTAGAGGGATATTGGTACTTGGTGGTAGTTGCATTGTGATAACATATACTTTGAAGAGATATGAAACTATACCTCCTAAAAGATATGCAATCATGTGAACCAATGATACCTCAATATTCATGCTGTGTTTTTAAAATAAAAATGTTTGTACTTTGTTTAACTAGTATTTATTTTGCTCTTATTAAAGCAAATGTTCCCAGGTTAAGAAAGATTTCTAGGTGGAATATGGTTAGAAGGGTAGACCACATATCTAGCAAGTTGGAATTCTAGTAAATTCAGTTGAACCAAGTCCCAATCCTGACTAAGCATTGTTGGATGTGGCCCCTTTATATCTTCCCAACCCAATTACAATAGATATTTCAACTTGATTAAGTCTTGTGTTTGTAAGCACATTTATAAAACTTCACTTAACTTCACAGTAAAAAAAAAAGTTTATGTGAATATCATGGCTTATATTGTAGATTTATATTATTATATTTATAA